AGTGTTGTTGTTGTTGTGCTGGCCGATGTGGCCACAAGGAGGCAACCTCACTCTGCAGCACATGTTGGTGCACGGGGCCACAAAGGAGTCAAAGGTTATGAACAATGAGAGAGACCTGATCAGTTACACATTCAACTTACTGCAGGGAATTACTGATTATTAATGACAGGGCAACAAGTCCACTGGACTGGGCTGAGCTCGCCTGAAATGAGTAAATAACCATGTGTGTATTTGTTTTTAATGAACGTAATGATTCTGTAACTAAAACAACAAATGCATTTTCTGTTATTTTAAAGCCACGTGAGTTTGATTATGTTTTACCACATAAGTCCACACTCTTCACCAAATTGCTTCCTAAAGTTTTTGCCATATGTCTCGTTATACTGTAACACACAGTTGATGATTTGATTAGAGCAGTGCTTCCCTGCATCAGCACATTAATCCAGAAAGATGATATCTTAATGTATGTTTCCAAGAGCTTTGATGGAGATTGCTGCTTTATGAACATTTATCACAAATCACTGTCACTATGTTCTCGTGCTGCTGAGGTCTGTATGGTCGCACAGAGATTTTAATCATCATTAATGTACCTGTGTGCAGCTTCACTCTGGATTCAGTGGTTAACTTGAGGGGAGACACCCAAGATGAATAGGGTGAAAATTGTAACTAATAGATATCACTATGAAACTTCCCCAGTTGATTACTAACATTTAGACAATTATTTTTTATGTCATAAGTGTTCTTAGTTTTTATGTTTAAATATGCAAATGCACTATTTTGCATATATTTCCAGAGCAAAAATCTAAACATTGGATAGAGCCAGGTTCAAAATTCTTGTGTCACTTTGTTGTCATATTAGAGTCAAGGGTTTTTACTGAGAGGGGATTTTGAATGTCTCTTTTTTAATCACTCCATAAACCAGAAAATACTGTCAACAGCCATAAAAAATAAATCAGTTTTAGGCATGTTTTTAGAGATAAAGTGTTCTATAAATCAAGTTATGAATGATCTATGAACAAACCCCTCTGGAAAAACCTTCAGGATTTAGATAGGAATATGGAACCTATCCCAGCTGACACTGGGTGAGAGGCAGGGTTCACCCTGGACAGGTCACCAGACTATCTCATGGCTGACACATAGAGACAGACAACCATTCACACTCACATTCACACCTACGGACAATTTAGAATCACCAGTTAACCTGCATGTCTTTGGACTGTGGGAGGAAGCTGGAGTACCTGGAGGAAACCCACACTGACACGGGGAGAACATGCAAATTCTGCACAGAAGGGCTCCCCCACCCTGGGGTTCATACCAGAAACCCACTTCCTCTGAGGTGACAATGCTAACCACTGCACCACCGTGCCACCCACCACAAAACTTCCCCAGCTTATTACTTTCACCAAGACAAACTTCATTTGTATGACACATTTTCTGAAAATGTATGTATAAATATGCAAATAAGGCATTATCTGATTAAATATGTGCGTTTGCACAAGTTTCCACAACAGAAATCCAAACTAAAAGAAACACCTAGACATGTTATGGAAGCAAATCAACCCAAAATCAGGTCATGAAATAAGTATGTTTTCACTTAGGGCAGGGGTCGGCAACCTTTACTATCAGAGGAGCCATTTTGACCAAAAATAATAATAAAAAAAAATCATCTGGAGTCACAAAACATATTTGAATCTTATAATGAATGTAACACAGCCTATCAAGTCTAAATTAGCTCATGAGTATTACTAATAGGTCTAAATGAGCATTAATTAATATGTTTTACTCTGACTTCTTCTAAAACGACTAAAAAGGACTCTCGTTTTTTGAATTAATGTTTAAACATGTTTTAAATGCACGTGTAGAAATACCAGCTTCAGGGTTTCTGTAACGTTTATTTGTTCACTTTTACAGAGTAGGCTACTGACCCACTATAGACTTCAATTGTATTCGCTAAGCTAAGCCGCAATGCTAACCGCCGAGACCCAGCCACTGGACGTACAGACACAAAAAAGATATCGATCATGTTGTCTCAATATGAAAATGATAGAAAAAGGGCATAACTCCCAAATCGTCGGCGTATTCCTTTAAATTTTCTTAGCTAGGCCAGCTATGATCCCAAATCCGATAAAAAGTAAAAGTCTTGGAGAAGAAGAGAGAATTTAATAGTGTGTGGACAACTTCATTTGCTTTCTTTGCCAACTCTGCAAAGTTAAAGTTTAAAATAATCATTAACAGCCCAACTCCCAAATCGTCGGAGTATTCCTTTCAACTTTAACTTTGCAGAGTTGGCAATGAAAGCAAATGAAGCTGTCCCCACACTATTAAATTCTCTCTTCTTCTCCAAGACTTTTACTTTTTATCGGATTTGGGATCATAGCTGGCCTAGCTAAGAAGATTTAAGACTAGTCACTTGATTCGCTGTTGAGGTTTGGCAAAAATAGATGGAGAAGGAGCCAGGCCGTGGACGTTTGAAGCCCATTTTAGCTGATGAAACAGTTATGCTTTTTTTTTAAATTTGGTGCATATGTGCATAAGTTGTTTAGGCCTACGACAATGATAAATAAACATGTTCAAAAAATAGATGTTATTTGTCCGAGACACAGGGAGCAACCGGAGAGGGGCTCAAGAGTCTCGTGTGGCTCCAGAGCTGCAGGTTGCCTGCCCCTGACCAAGGGGGTCATGTTGTTGGGCCTGGGTGTTCGAGGCTTTATCCCTGAATGTTAATGTATAGCCCTGCATCTAAATAAGCTGTATATATTTAAATAAATAAATAAGAATAGGCCTTATAATAATAATTCAAAAGAAGCCCTCAATCTAATAATGTATCATTTTGTCCCTGCATTAGAGCCCTCAAAAATATTATATCGTTTATCAAAAATCAAGTTTAGGGTTGTCTGTGTCATTCAAGCAGCACATTTCGTGTGATGAAGTACCTTTTAACATCCTTAGCCATCATTTATCTGGAAAGTAAATAAAGCATTTTAAGAGTAAATAAGATGCAAGTGCATAGAAAAGCATCAAAATAAAGCTTGGTCATAAATAAATTCCCGTGGAGGATCCCTCCAGACCCAAACACAGAGGTCCAGACTAAGCACCCAATGTCCTCAAATCCTGGTGTCCCCCCTTAAAGGTCAGCTCATCCTTGTGGACAGTTTTCCATTTAGAAAAACACATTTTTATGTAATTGTCACTGTTGCACACATTCCTACTGCTGCTTTGTTCTGTAAAAGAGGCGTCATATTGTTGACGTGATAATGCATTTTTAAATTGCCCTTCCCAGTATTTGTGGTAGCCTTTCAGCCATCATCACTCCACACCTCCACATGTTAAAAAAAGGGAGCTCGTCCACATGATTGGTCCATGAGTGTGAGTGACAATTTGTCCCTAAATGAAGAGACCGTACGGGTTTCGTCAGTCCCACCACTCCGGCAAATGCTGACCTTTCACTTCCTGACGCAGCATTTGTATTTAACACAGCCACGTGCCCCTGGCGACCTCACACACACACACACACACACACACACAAAGATATACACAGACACACAGCGCCGGCTTTGTGTTGGTTTAAAAAGTAACTCCAAACATGAACACAGTGAAAAGGAGCTCTGGAACACAAGCAGGACACACACATCATGCACACACGTGTTGCCTCATAGAGATTACCTGAGTTTTCCCAACTACAAAAAGCCGGCGCAGGTGGAGGCGTACAGTTACTGTATACTGGTCGATATAACACAAAGATAGCATTGTTGTCCCACTGAAGAAAGTATGAATGCAATGCACTATACACATAATTCTGTGCACAGTAGTTTTATACACCAGTAAGAGAAGAGACGCACACACAAAATAAGCCATACAGACACAGCCATGTGACATCAACTTTTTCTTTTATTTGAAAATATTCTCCCAACAGGATGAAACTCAAGAGAAGCCCAGAGGGTCCAAAGCCAATAGAGCCGTCTAGAACAGAAGCACCACTCATTATTGCTATGTCACTCTGCTGCAGGACAAGGCGCTCAGGAGGGGGGGGGAAGAGAAAAAGGAAAGGAGGGAGGGGGGGGACACAGAGACCCACAAACACATTCACTCCAGCACACATACAAAAGGAGCTATGTGAAACACAGTGGTGGAGATCCTAAAAACTACCTTTTTTTTTTTAAAGCTGCAGATGTTCTTCATGGCGACTATGTAGCTCTGGTAGCTCTGCATCCACAAATCCTCACCTCAACCATCGGGGGGGAAATAGGGTGCCAATAATGATGATGATCTTCCGTTGAGACTACACACATAGGCAGAGCTGGTTTAGAGATCATAACAGTCGTGTTGACGGCCCCCTTCAGGCAAGATGAAGAACATCTGCAGCCTGCAGATAAAAACACTTCATTCTGTCTTTCTGTTTCTGAGAGGAGCGATACAGAATGGAGGAGAGAGGAGAGTCGGGCGAAAACATACTGTGGGGTAAGAGGGGAGCTGAGAGGAGTGTGAACATAGAATGGGATGGGGCTGCTGGTTGTCCATCTCTACTATCACAAGTCTAAAAAAAATTCAGCATGGTACAAAAATCGTCAGTAAAAAAAGATGCTTTGCTGCCATGGAGTCAGAGGGGACGAGTCGGCAGACGCGCCCGTGTCTTTACGCCTTCTCCTCAGTCGCCTCCTCTGCTGCTTCAGTTACCTGGAGGGAAGAAGAGAGGAAGAGTTACACAACAGAGCAGGTGTTACCCATCGTTCTTACCGCAGGTAGGTTCCAATAGAGAGCTCCAGGGATGACGTGTTTCTGTGGTTAGCATCGCCCTGGTTCCCTTGTGAAAAAGCTGATGGGATTTTTCCATTGGACTTTGGATCATTGCAGAAAATAAGTGGCAAACAAATGTTTGTGATACTGACACGTTTAGTTCAGCAGATTTCTGAAGCCTAGATGCAATCACTATAAGTAAAAAGCAAACCTTAGGGCGCATTCACACCAGGATAGTCCGGGGGACTCGGTTCTATTGGGCGTAGAATGCCGAAAAATTTCACGCCTTCATTTGGTTCGGTTCACTTTCACACTGCACTTTGTAAAGCCAACTAAACGGCCTGGACAACAGCTGCTTGTTAGGGGGCGGTATTGCCCTAAACGACCACAGTGCAAAAGCACAAGAAGAAAACCCAGTTCATCGATTGGCCAGGACCAAAAACGGAAATCCATTCCCTCCAGCCGAACACCAAATTTATGCAGTCTTGGGGTTTCTGTTTTTACTTTGGTGTTCAAACCTAATTGTTTTTGTACCTCTGCTTCCCCCACTTCTCCTGTTGGCTTTGGTTTTTTTTCTACCCAAAAAGCATTACACTTTGGTTCGCCGGATAGTCCGTTTGCATTTCCCACTGTAGGCAAACTGCACCACGGTTCACTTGCAAGTGAACCAAGACCCCCAGTTTTCAAGCAGACTAGGGTTCGCTCGTTTGGTCCGCATCAGACTTCGAATAAGCATTCACACCACTCCAAACGAACCAAACCATTCGTGGAAGTGGACCAGGGTTCATTTAAAGCCGACCAAATAGCGCCAGTGTGAATGCGTCCTTAGGCTACAAATGAACTAAATCCAGGTCGTGTGTCTTAACGTCGCCCCACAGCTCGGTGTGATGATTTTCTGTAACTGCCTTTTTTAAGTGATCGCTGTAGGGTTCTTTTCCATAATGTTGTCATACACTTGCAGTAACAGTCTGAGCCTGTCAGTGGCAAAAACAAGCACTTTTAGTGGATGTAAACTGACAGTGCACACATGCGGCGAGTACTCACATTCCATCCCTTTTCAGTCAATAAATTTACTTGTCACATGAAATCATATGAACACAATTTCAGTCCTTTTCACCACTGCTGGCTGCAGGCCTCTCTCTCAGTAGTGGACCAGCTGTTGCTCCCATTAGTCACTTAGACACAACAATATAGGAAAACAGGGTCCAGGTTGAAAAATGTCAAAGTTACCCTCTTAGTATATTTCAGAAATTTTGTTAAATGTACTCAGAGAACAGTTTAGGCTGACACTTTACATTTACAGAACACTCGCTGTGTTTGTGGGGCTTGCTCCAAAAAGCAGGTTTATCAAGTTGTCAGGATTACCCAACACCTTTGAATCTGTGACATGGACTTTAGTCCACTAACTGCTTGTGGCAGATAGTTTTGGTTTCATGTGCTGAGTGTTTAAGATATCCAAGGGCTGAATCACCGTGACGTCACACTAACAACAATCACTTGCAGGTAAACAACTGGAAATTGATTTGCATTGCAGATAAGTGTGAAATCAGCAAATCTGTTTGTTTCTGTTGTCATTTTCAGCTCAAACTGTAACGTTTAAAGAGATTAAGTTAGACACAGTGGTCCAATTTATCTGATGTTTCTGCTGTGCTTATTTAATGTACTTTGTTGCGTCTTTGATAAACTAAATCTACCTGCACGGAAGTTAAACAACGAACTGCTATGGACGGGTAACTGCTTTACCTTACACACTGACTGATTGAGGCAACAGTAGACCAGCTGTTTTAAAATTACTGTTTTTATCAACTGTGTCTGGTGGCTTGAAGATAATGGCGTCAGTGCCCTGCTGTAAAAGGCTACGTGAAAGGTTAAGTGGTGACAATATCCTAAATAAAGTGATAATTTAGGCTGCTTTCAGACCTAGAGTCGTCTCCTTTGGTCTGAAGCAGAGATTCATTTTGTTCCAAAGTTGTATAATTGCCTAGAGTTGGTTCATGTTCTCACGGCAGCATTTACAAACACACCAGGTAAAAATGCCTTGTGTGGGAAAGCTGCTCTTGATTAGTCAGAAAAATCCAGGAAGTAAAGCAAACGTTGAAGAAGAGTACACTTGCAAGATAAATGTGACACTTTCTAATGTCACAATGGAGGGACAACTACGCAGGTTGATTTTAGCGCTGCTCATCGTGGACTATATTGCTGTCATTGTTCATTTTAGTCAAACCATACAGTTTGAAAACGAGGCGCGGCTCCAACTAGAAAACAATGTTTTGATGCATTGGATGTGCTGAATGTGCATATTAAGGCAGTACAGGAGGAGGTGCACATTAATAATCCTCCAGGACTGTAACATGCTCATGTTTAACCCAAATAATGTGTCACGTGACTGCAGTTGCTTCAGATCCAGGTCGGAACACCTTCTCACCACAAATGAACCACACCAGAGTTCGTTTGTAACCGGACTGAGACCACCTCTTCAAGAAGGTCTCGGTCAGGATTGTTTTGGTGCACACCTGAGTGTGATTAATGATTAAAGTTGACTAATGTGTATGAGTATGAAATGTGCTATATGAATAAATTAGCCTTGCCTTTCATTCACCTTCCCTGCATTGGAATGTCAGGTAACATGTAACCACTCACCATAATTTCATGATCTTGTAACGCTCACATGATTGGCTCATGCGACAGATCTGTTAAATTTGTAACTCAAATGCACAACTCCTATCTGCAGGAATCATGTCCTGTGTGTGTCCTCTGCCTGACCACTGGATGAGCCAGCTGTCTGTGAACACACTGAGCCAATCACACTTCACATCACAGCTGTGTGAGCGGCGACCCTTCCTGCTCATGTGTATAAAGTTGTCCTTGGCCCGCTTCACTGCACACAGCGACACAAAATGCCAGACATCCTCACTTCTCCTCGTCTTCACTTTCTCTCTCTCTCTCTCTCTCTCAGACACGCCACAGCACTCCAAAGCACACTGGGTAAATGTTTGCTCAGTGAACATACAGTTACTGAATAAGTTAGTCACTCCAAAGACGGATTAGAGACACACTACCGTACCCTTAACTCTGACTGTCTCACTCTGCCCTCTCACTGACATCAAGGAGGGAGCCGTGCTTCTGATGGAGGACACACTGACAGACGGACGAGACACGTAGATCTGTGTGTGTGTGCGTGTGTGTGAGCATGCATCATGTGAGTGGAGGGAGATGTGTGTTAGTGATAGTAAGCAGTGTGGTTACAGTGGTGCAGTTAAAGTGTGTGTGTTCATGTTTATACACAAATCGACAACATAAGGGAGTAAAGATTATTTTCTCGTCTGCCTCTGACTGAAAGTTTTCCTCTTTCATCAACATGTTTTTTTTCGTTCCAATTTTCCCTCCTCGTACCTCATTGGTCTTGGTCTCTCCGTTCTGGGCGGGGCCATCATCCTTCTTACCCTTAGCACCGCCTTTCTTTGCCTTCGCCCCCTTATCGTCTGCCACCTTCTGCACAGGAGAAATGACAGAAACATACAACTAAATAAAAATTACACAGTGGCACACACCAGCATACAGGACTCTTATTGTATGAAGCTTAATCAGTGATCTTTTCCGGTCTCTACCAATTGGTTATGTTCATATTTACTTCAAATACTTAAATCTATGGGCACAATCCTACAAGCACTTACTGTGTATCAGTCTGGCACTGACGTTCAAGCATGAAGGAAAACAGAACTGATCATACTATCACTGTATTACTAACATACTTAATTACAAACTCATTTCTAATTTCTCCGTATTGGCAAGAGAAGAGAGAAATAAGGAACATCTTTGGAATAGAAGTTGATTCTTCCTTTGTCATATTATACTTCGAACCCCAGACAATCTCATAACCCAGGACGAATACCTTTACTTTTGCCCACAAGCAAGAAAGCCATCACATGGAGGTGGCTACAGGTGAACCCCCCTTCAGCAGACGACTGGATTGCAATTGACTGAACACTAAGTCCCGCCCTCAAACGCGATGAGCCAATCACAGTGCGTATAGCCATTCCCATACACTGGGACATTCTCTGCCTGGACGTCCATTGAAATGCATTACAGAAAGTCAGTTTTGTTCGGTTTTATGAGCTTTTTCGGAGATTTGAAGTTTAAAAATGGTCAAACGGTGTGCATGGGGTACATGCAACTCTGACACAAGGTATCCTGAGAGGCTGGGCGACGAGGTGTATTTTTACACTTTAAACCACATCTCAACCGAGAAAAGTGTCTCCTTTGGATAAAGTTGTGTGGTAACGTTAGACCACAACATCAACTCAACGTGAATAAGATTAACAATGATGTCTACATCTGTTCTAAGGTAAGTCAACATTGTGTTTGAGGCAACATATTGTCACTTTGCTGGAAAGAAATATAAAGTTATCTTTAACATCTCTAGCTAACGTTAGCTAAAGTTAGCCTAACGTTAGCTCCTAGCTGCGTTGTTCATCATGTCACCTTGTTTGCTGGGAGTTCATTAGCCTATTTTGTTCTAGTTTTGTACTTTGGTGATCGTACATCATTGTTAGCTGTTGTCCAAAGGGCTCTAGTTAAGCTAACGTTAACTTCTGGAGCTTAGCTTCATTAACTTATCTGTAATGGCAGAGATAACAAAGGTTGGCAAACGTTATGCTGAATGATTCAGTGTAAATACTGTAGCACTAAACTAACGGAGAGACACTCTTGGTAAAGATGGTAAAAAGGCCGTTATCCTTTTCTCATATTCTGAGCCAAAAACTTTAACTTCAGTGGCACTTTAACTTGTTGTCTTTGATGGTGACGGCAACCAGATGCGGTTCACAAGCGTACACTGTGACCTGTAAATTTTGGCTTGTAATTTAAGCTTTTCATCGACCTTCTCAACAATAAAACGATGAATATATCCCTCCAATGCGTAGTTTAGGCCCTTTTGGTTACTTCTCAATGACATCTGATCATTATGTCCCCAGAAATCATCAGTTGCCTCCTGCAAAATTCCGTGTACTGTGACACCTGCCATAGCGCCGGTCACTGAATGTTGATAGTTTGTCCGAGTGAGTGGAGGGGGCGTGGCTTAGCCATAGGTTAATTCATATGAAGAAAATCACTGTTTCTTTACGACTGTGACTTAATCAATATAGAAAACTTTGGAAAAAATGGACCGTATACAGAAAGGGATGTAACCTATTTGCTAGTTGAAAGACCCTGTTCTGTTCCATTGTGTGGCTCCTACCAAGTTTGTAATAAAAAATAAAAGATAACTAAACTCATTTCTGGATGCAAGTGTGAAAATCAATGCAACGACAACTTAATACGTTTTGGAAGTGGACGTAGCTGCTTATCTACATATAAGATTGCTGTAACAATTAATTTCATTACACACAACAAAATTCCAGAATTTTCCAAAACTTTCAATGACTTTTACTAATTCCAGGATTTTTTTCCAAGTGTGGAAAATTAGATTGTGAAATTAAATTACTTTTCCATGTTGGAATGCTAACTAGAGTATTTTGATATTATGTTACATCAATTCTCAAAAAAATTTGATTTTTTTTTTGTGTTTTCTTTTACATTTTTATTTGTTTGCCCAAAAAATCCTGCGAGCACTTTTACATTTTTATTCACTCAGATTGCATGTCTTTGCTCAGATTGCACAAAAAGTAGTGCTATGATGTTGGATGTTACAGCGACTATGATTTATTCAAATAAAGTTCCCACTGTTGTGACTGCATAAAAAAGGAAACTCTTCATTTTGAATATTGATTAACCTTTAGACTCACTGCATTATATTATATGAGCAATCCCTGAGGGAGCTCTGGATAAGGAAAGCTTTACTTGCTTCAAATCCTTTCACTGGTGGCAAAAAAATGATATCCTTATCTTTGCTCAAACCGCTGCCACCCACACTACACCAGTGGCAGGTTAATGAAAGTGTACACAGTGGAAAAAATAACGACACAACTCCATTTAAAGACAGACGAGCTTTAAATGTATGGGCTCCTATAATTACTTTTAAGATCACCAAAGTGTACTGATTTAATTGTGAACTTGGCCAAAACTGACGGATTTACTTCTTTAAATATATTTTTACTTTTACTTATTTATTTATTTTTTGGATAATCCTTTCTATGTAAATGTGCACGCTGCCATGATTTATAATTTTAATGTTCGTTTGCTGAACTGTGAAGAGTTAATTCGTTTTCTATCTCCTAACGAAGTAGCAATGTATAATTCAAATGTAGATAAACATTTTGTTAAAAAAAAAAAAAAACGTAATTTTTTTTATGCCTGCAGTGGTGTGCTCTTTAAAGTATGACAGTTTTCCTACAATTAGACAATTAAAAATTGCAATATATCACAGTAAAATGAATCGTACTCCTGTATCGTTATACGTATCGTATCACCCAATTCTAGACTTAACTATCAAGTGAATCAGGTGAAAATAATTTCAAACCAGATTTTAACGTTCCAACGTTGTCATGGTATCACAGTATAATTATAGCTATGAGTTACAATGACCCTTAAAGGTTTTGTACTATAATTGAAACTTGAAACCATTTTATTAATGGACGTTTCTGTAAAAAGTCTCCCTTTTGAAAATAACTAAAATAAAGATGAGAAACTGGTATATCGCTGCAACCCTATTTCCCAAGTATGCAATTTATTTCTTCAGTTTCCCTCTGCAAAATTACAGTGTTCACCGTACTCCTCTCACAACAGAAAGGGAGCAGAAAAATGTTGATTATGCTGCAGATCATGTAAAGAGGACAGAGCGTCTGCTGTCAGGGCCTCGAGACTCTGGAACAGTCTGCCTGAGGAAAACAGGTCGGCCAAGTCGGTGATTTCTTTTAAATCCCTTCTAAAACACACTTGTATTTATTCATTAGAGTTTTAAGTTCGTTTAAACTGTCTTTTATTTCCTCGGTTTTTATGCACTAAAGTGTTTTTATTAGTTCTTTTTAAAGTTGTTTTCATGTCTGGTCTGTTTTAATTATTGAAATGTAAAGCACTTTGTTACTCTGTTTTGAAAAGCACATCATAAATAAAGATTATTATGACTATTAAAGTTCCTCAAGGTAATGAAAATAAATGCAATGAAAAAATAAGAGTTAAAACTAGAGAATATTTTTGCTGCAAATTATAATTTTATAATATTTTACTAGCATTTCAATATTCAAAATAAATACCGATAAATTCCTGTATTTTTTCTGGAGGTGAAATAATGGACCTTGGATACTGTAGGTGTAGCTGCAAAGTGTATTTGTGTGTGTGTGTGTGTGTGTGTGTGTGTTACTGTGTTTTTCACATCCAGCGGCCTTGGTCATGCACATAGGGCCAATCGAGTGCCTCAGAGTGTTGCAAATTTATGGGGATATAAATAAATCATAGTAGGCGTAGTGTGTGTGTGTGTGTGTGTGTGTGTACTTTACCTTGACGATGGCCTTCTTGGGCTTGGCCTCGGGCTTGGGTGGAGCAGGTTTCTGCAAATTAAGCAACAGTCAGTTAGGACTGACCACCTGCACAATGCGTCGTTTCTGGGAAAAATATTAGTTTATCTGTGGTTCCCTCTGCTCTCTGCACTCGCTCGCAGCACCGTCTCTGCGCTAGAAAATTCACCAGGACTAACACAGAGCACATGGAGGCTGCTCCCACTGTGGATATTAATAATAATCAAGTACTTGCACCGTTTGTCCTGAGTAATGGGATCTGACAATATCCGTGTGCTAAGTCGTTTCAAATATCTGCCTCTTCTCAAAGTGAACTGACCTCAGACCACTGTACAATGACTATATCAGATGGGAGTTCAAATTCTGGCCACTCGGTGTGAGAAACTTTGCTGCAGAGCTTTTCCAGGCCGCTGAGTGTGGACCACGTTACCCTGAAGCCACGAGCTACAGTAACACTGCTGTGACAAAATTAAATCATGTGATTCTTTCCCAGAATATCTCTGCTTTTCTTTAGAGATCGCCAATGCTCTGCACATGAGACGATAAATGAAAGGCATATTTTCTTCTTATGCTGGGGGAAGTGGGGCTTGACATTTACAGGGGAATTACCTACACCTTAAAAGAATTTGGAAAACACAAGAAAGACTATGCTTTTTGCCCTGAAGTCCAAATACTGGCCAATAAACAACATAGCACTGCTGGTTTACAGCTTTAAAAAAAAATCCTGTTTCATTAAATAAGCTGATTTCTGAAGGTGTTCAAAGACAAGGAAACATCAGATTAGGAAACATGCAAACATTTAAAATAGCATGTTTACACAGTCACATCAAAAGCTTAAAGGAGGAGTCTGACAATTTGGGAAATATGCTTTATCTTCTTCCTTTTACTGCTCTAATGTTTGTCTGTTAAACATAAAGAGCCAAGAGACTGCTGAGCTTAGTTTAGCACAAAAACTGATAACAGCTCATTGACTTCCTGGAGACTCCACAGGTGGCCTGGCAAAGACTCATGGTGCGCTCCATGTGCAGTGACAATGTCTGATATTCCAGCTGGAAATTTCATCCGGAACATCCCCAAAGCTGGATGTCCAACTCGGAAAGTCAGGACCCTAAAGGAACCTAAAATCCAAGATGGCTGCCCCACGTATCAACAGCAGTGACAGCTATTGTTCATTAGCACTCTGTCTTATCTGGACCAACTTTTATCTGCGGACATGTTGCTACAGTGTCTGTATGTGCAAAAACAGTGCGATGCATTGTTATAAAATGGTTTTGCTAACAAAGGCTAACCTGGCTATTGCTAACAACATCTTTGGTTTTCTGACTTGTTGAATTGGAATGCAGTAAACTCAGGTGTGACATCAGTCCCAGGTAAAATGGAATGCAGCGATAGTCTGGCACATAAGTGTAAAATATAAAGCCGATTTGTATTTTTACGTTTAGATTTTTGCATAGATTAAACAAACAAAATACAACTGGTGTTTTCAGTCTTTGTGCTAAGCTAAGCTAACTGGCTGCTAGCTGGTAGTATCCCATCCATGGATGTATTAAGAGACCCGGATAAAGCGCTAGAGCCAGGACCCCGTTCATTTCTAACCAAAAAAGCTCTAATTCCGCAGTTAAATCACCCGGATGATCGATGCCACATCATTGGGCCCGCAGAGCAGGCGCACTACAGACTTCCATTGGCCAAGCCATCTACTTCTAGTTTACAATCTGCTAACATGAATAGGGATAAAAGATTTAATCTTGTGGCTCTGCTAGGCTTTTCAAATGTTATCAGACCGAATGATCAATTCCTGATAGTAACGAATCATTTCATCGGGGCTCTGATGCTTAATAAAATGTATCCAATGATTTACCAATGTCTCTTTCCAGTGTAAGTCTATGGGACAAAGTCTTTTTGGGGAACTGCTACAGCCTGGGTCTTTTAACAGGGGTCCAGGACCCCTGGAGGTCCTCAGAGTTACTGCAGGTGGGCCGTAAAATTATTAATTCATTCATTTACAGCACACAACATTAACATGTCGTTTTGGGTCCAATGGCATCACGTGACAAACTCAGGAGTTGTACTGACTTGCTCATCTAAGTCTCTGTAAGTATGATAATATGCATATTTCCCAAAGGGTCAGACCATCCCTTTAAAGGAGCTCTATAGGGCTAAACAATGTGAAGGTATGTCACACCCTGTGGGAAGGGGGCGCCATCTTGTGAGGTAAATGCCCTGTTATCTCTACTGCCAAAGTGTCTGCACTTGGGTCTAAAATGAGGTAGTTTACTAAGTCTGGGGTGTGAGTGTCTGCAATCCAGCCTTGGACTGCCAAGTCAAATGGATCTCGGTTGTTTATCGGGATCTGTCCAAATACTGCTGCCGCTTGAGCGCAGTAGTGTGCACAGGTAACACAGCTCAGTCCTCACAAGATGGCGTCCTCGTCCAAAGGATTTAACACAGCTTAAGGTTAACTTCACATTCTCTTTATGATATTCAGAGCACATCTGTGATCCAGAGGTTGTCTGCACACAGCTCTCAACATGGAGGTGGCTGAGCTAGCACCTAGCAGAGGCGGGTGCTATGCTTCCATGATGACACTATTCCGATGCAAAGTGGCTAAGATTAGCTGGCCAGTGGGATACACACACAGGGATGCACATGCACTTACATGCATGCAGGGCCGTCTAGGATAACAAAAAACAGAGAAGCTCGGCTTACAGCACAGAACGCCTTTACTTCACTACATCTTTAAGCCCAGTTCAGACCAAATGATTTGCCACGAGATGAAACTGTTTTAGAACACTGGTCTGAGGTTGACCCAAGCCTGCTGATGGTGTCACCTGCAACTCAGCTGGTCTAATCGCTGCCGGCTGGTTTTAGCACGTAAAGCACATCACCTGTTTCAAAAGCCAATCAGCTTGTAGTGAAGTCCACTGGTCAAGTCAAAATAACCGTGGACAGCGTGTCTGCTTGCTGGGGCCTGAGATGATACACCGTCTCATCTAGTTGCATTGTGTGAACCAGTAGGTTTTTAAAGCGTTGCCGAAGGTTGCATCGCAAGTAGTTGCACGTTTCAACTCCTCTCGTTGCTAATGGTCTGAACTGGGCTTTACATAGCAAGTAGTTGTTTGCTGCTGTATTAATGTACTGAATATCTTATAGAGCTCCTTTAAAGTGCACATGCAAATGTACAAATACATGCAAAGACTCAATGTGGATGGGTTCAACATGCAAAGTAAGACACAGATAAAAAAGACATGGTCTGTTTGGCAGAGCTGCATGAAAATAATATTATTATGGTAACTATCCATACTCATTACTTTTACAAGGATTTAGGGAACAATTGGAGCATTTTCAATACAAACTGGACATTTTCCATGAAGCTTTGATTAATGTTGAGAAGTAATTAAGAAGAAAATGCTTCATTTTTACTGATGGAACAATTTTCTACACTTGTTTTGTTGCATCATGCAGCCCTACACATCAACAAGGTGTTGCAACAGACCACAGTGAAACAGGACAGAGACAACAGAGAAAAGACACCAAGCAAGACACAATCCTCAGGGAGCATGTTTATGGAATCTGTAAATTGCCGTGATCAGATCCGTAAACTGTGTGAGGACTTTACTCCGAGCCTTGGTAACATGACACTTACTACCCCACCAGATGATGAGGAGGAGGCGGGAGGAGGAAGGAGAAGACAGTGACAGAGGTGAAGACAGGGAGGGGAGAGCGAAACTTACCGCTGACAATCTCTCTGACCTTCTGGTGGGCTGCCGGAGCAAAAGGATGATCAATGAGAGAGAAAGACAGTGACAGACAGAGAGAGAGACAGAGAGATATCAGTTGTACCTTTGCGGGCTGCTCTTAAGCGCTCGGTGACTGCTACAAGTGTCCTAATCATTAACCTGTCATGTGTCTATTCTGACTCACTCTCACACACACTCTCTTTCTTAGCACGAAAAAAAGCACAGCATACAAACACACGTCTGCACGCCCACACACAGCACACAAACACACCCGAAACATTTACCTCTTGCTTTGTGACTTTGGAGGCCTCCTTGCCCTCAGGACCCTCTGGAGACTGTAGGAAATGCAACAAGGTATGGAGAGAATGTTAACAGAGCAGGTGTGAGCTCACACAGCGTACAACCCCTCTGAGGTAAATGTTGTGATTCGAAATGTAGTTTCTGGTTGTTTCTCATCTACCATGATCAATTTTAATTCATAAAAAATTAGATGTGGTTCAGTCTGTTCAGATGTGTGCGTGTAGCTTAACCTCTCTGTGTGTTATATAGGGAGCCAGGTTAGCTATACATACAAATAATGCAAATCATTGATGGCTCTGGGGAAAAGGTCAAAAGGTCACAAACTGACATTCAAAGTGCTGGAGCCTCCTCTCTCTCTGTCAGGAAACTCCTTATCTCTTTACACAAAATTCAGCTCACTAATAATGACGTGATAACTATGGTATTGCTGCACAATTCATTTTAAAAAATTCGAAGTGCAATATTCAAATTGCAGGAGCTGCAATTTTTTGATGAAGGTAAAATGTGTCACAACATAATATTATACATGAAGCACTGTGGCGCTACAGAGATGCCCCGACCTTAAAATTATATTCCAGTCATAAGGGAGCATGCTTGTTTTTTTAACAGACCCTGGTAAAAATCTTTTTTTAATTAGTGAAAATGAAATGCAAAAATTACCACTCTAACTACAATTGGGACTCATATCGCAATATATCAAAATAATCGCAATATGATTTTTTTTTTTTTTGCAGCCCTAAAATGTGTACCTGGAGCTGGAACAGAAAATTAATCTGCAAATATTTATTTAATATTATATTCTATAAATTGTTTTCAATTCAGACTGTATTAAGGACACAACTCATGAGAGTCCATAGTGCAATAAAAATGCTACAAAATAAAGTCAAATGAAATAAAAAATGAAAAAATAAACTGAAGCAAAACAAAATAAAATTGAATTAAATTAAAAAGAGAAAATAAATATAAAAGAAATCCACAAGAGATTCCACAATTATCATATATCTACATACCCATAATTTGCCATTGTATTAGCAAACATGCCAATAATTACCTGGCAACACTTTCTCTTTTGTCAATATTTGTTGGAGTTCTTGGTATTTTATTGAAGTATTTTTAAAATTTGGGGTTGGGACTGCATGGTCGAACCTCAAAATAAAAATAATAATAAAAATATATAAATAAAATAAAAATGAAAAAGACAGCAGCTTGGGCTTTGGGAAAATATTTTGCTATTTTCTCACATGTTATAAACTATAATAAATTAATCAATTAATTGAGAAATTAATTTGCAGATGAATGAATAATGAAAATAATCCTACATCCTTGTGCATAATAAAATCATACAAACACAAACAACATAACAACTTCTTCCTCCACTGATTCACAAATATACAGCCATGTAGACTATTTGAATATTTTAATAAAATATTAAGGATTATTATAATATGTATAATGTAAATAATTGTCAGAATCATAAGGGTCTTAAATTTAATTATTTAATCTGATTTTTTTTTGTATTTTTTTTTTAAATATTAGAAACTGTAATGCTTCACATAATTAACCCCAAATTTTAATCTTAATTTTTTATCATATTTTAGATTAATATTTGTACCAGAAACAATTTCACATGATCTGATAATGATATGTGATTTCTCTGAGTATTTCCATCTTAATGAAGGCATCTTGCTGACATGCCAAGCCCTGAGCTCCCAAAAGAATAAAGCAGTGTAAACATGGTTATTGACAAACAACACACCGTGAGGGCTGCCAGCCTACATGCACATCACCCTATCATGAGCACACTCAGGCTGCAGGCAGGTGAGGACAGTGTAGGCTACAGGAGAGAGCCCACCCCCACCGTGGAGAAAAAAATGTGTTGGTTAAGCCTGCAGGTTGGCAATCGCATCATTTGCATGTGGGCGACCTCCGCCCCTAGAGGCCCCCCATTCTCTGTCCTCACAGGCGAATCTGCGCAGACAATGGCAGTTTTTAGATGGCAGAAAAGCCAATTTCCATGTATGCGCTGCTACAATGCTCCGGAGCTCGTCGTGCAATGTGTTTAGATAGTGTCACGGCCCCTTTTAACACAGCGCCAATTGTCCCTGATCCCTTCTTTCTTTATTCCTTTCTCTCCATCTGGATGTGGGCTTGCTCAATCGGCTCGGCGCCTACCATCCATCCCCACCGGAGAACCAAAATGACACACAGAGGTGATGCTTTTTAATTCTACTGTTTGAAGTCACATAATTAAAAATCAATATATGAAACGCGCCTACAGGAATTATCACCACGCACGTCTCCTACGGGATTTACGCATCCATCCATCCGGCGGCTCCGTCTGACATTCACCAGTGCGCACAGTGGACAGGGAAATGGCACATAAAACGACCACAAGAACGGCCATTGAGATGAACGCAGCAACATTTATAGCGCAAAGACAAACAGTATCATCATGAAATAATCGATATGCGCGCAAAGACGCGTCAAATCCACCTGAAAGGCGGCGGGCGAGAAGACGCTTCCACAAACTTTGGCATCGCCTCACCTGCCTCGACGTCGCCACAGAAATCGCGCACCGCTATTTTCCTCAAATGCAAGAGCAGAAAAACTACAGTGAAGTGAGCTGCACGGCACACACGACACTCACCTTTCTCTTCGGCATTTTTACGCGTGAATTATTCTCCACCAAGCACGGGAAAAAAATTAAGGTCAAACCCGAAGGTCCAGTAGAGGCGAATTTGAACTACCTCGAAATACAGGATCAATATCTAAGCACCTTCGATAATATGTTGATTATATGCACTCCCCAAAACTCTATACCTCCCACGGCCATTGGATGGTGGAGTCAAAATCCTCTCCTGTGCTGACTCCCGATTGGCTCGTCGCGTCTCTATGTAAATAAGAGGCTCTCGGACAGTGGCCGAGATTTAGCCGAGCGCGCGTTTGATTGGCTACGCGCTCTTTGTGCGCAGATCCCACCAGACGGCGACGGCTGAGAGGGAAAGTGGAGACAGGCCAATGAAAGCGGGGCCGACTCTCGGTGGATCTGGGTAATGTAGGATGAGAGAAAGAGAGAATGTTGGAAATGAAACACAAAGGACCAGAAAAAAAACGGGCACAATGGCACAATGTCGGCCATAGAGGAGCTCCAGAAAATCTGGCGGGCATTGTGTCTTGTAGGGTTTCCACTGCTGTAAAGGACCAGAGTAATCATACACCACATTTCTGCACATCACTGTGGAGGCACCAGTCCCTGCAGGAACACGATACTGTAAAACAATACAATGAATAAGGTCACTAAATATTAGACCACTGAGAGATTTATTTCATGATAAGGACACTTTTTATTTACATGGGAATTTAAAACACAAGACAGGTGTACAAATAGGTTGAAAACCAAATTGTGCCCAGGTGCATTTCATGTGCAGTGGTGCTTTATTGGTGTCTAGAATTATCAAGCAGATGCAGAATATCATTAATAACTAAAAAAATAACACCATAAAAGGGCGAAAGCTTGTATGCATATATTGTATTAAGATGTATAATGTGTTTTGGTACATGTGATTATCGGCCCTCACATAATTAACACATTTAAAGTTCAAGGAATGTTCTTATAAGGATTTTACATATGTATATTTTCAAAACAGAGAAATAAGTTGTCTTTGAATCTGACTCTCAGTATCCTGGTATCTACATGACAGTTCAATGTTTTTCTCTCACCTCTGGTATCTGCTGATACCGAATAACAAAGACAAAGAAACTGCATTTAATGTGGATCAGTCACAACATGTCAGACTCTCAATCCACCTATTAAGGTCTACTGGATCCATGCATCCGAGACAGTAATTATAATATATATTGGAGGGGTACACATAATCGAATATGCTCAAAATGTTCCCCCCAAAATATCATAAAGGGTTGTATGCCTCTGTGCACCAGTCAAGTTTCTCTTACAGTTTACATCCATGTCTGTGAAAACATGGATGCTTCACACACACCTTCATCTCAGCAGCACAGAGGATCTATACAATCAGCAGTTTCAAGGTGGACACCCAAGATTAGGAGTCACCAATTCAGTATCTGACCAAATGTCTGTTCCTGAGATACGATGCTGAGTAATGGCCAGAAAAGTGTTTTATGCAGAACATGATGATGTCACAGTGAAGTTGGCCTTTGACCTTTTAAAAATAAGATGTCATCACTTCATTACTTTCGCCCCTATCAGACATTTGTTTGAAGTGTTGTCATAATTAGCATATGAATTTGAGTTGTGGCCAAAAACATATTTTGTGAGGTCAAAATTCTAATCAGTTTATTCTTCAGTTCAAGTGGACATTGTGTTAAATTTAATTCCCTTCAGGTGTTCTTCATATATTGTGTTCACAAGAATGGGACAGATACAAGATCACCTTGACTTTGACCTTTGACCATTAAAATCCAATCAGTTCATTGTTGAGTCCAAGTTAACGTCTGTACCAAATCTGAAGAAATTCTCTTAAGCTGCTCTTGAAATATTGCGTTCACGAGAATGAGGTGGATGCAAGGTCACAGCTGCCTTGGTCTTTGACCACCAAAATCTAATTAGGTCATCATCGAGTCCAAGTAAACATTTGTGCCAAATTTGAAGAAATTTGCTCAAGGTGTTCTTGAGATATTGTGTTCACAAGAATGAAAAAGACAAGGTCACAGTGATCTTGACGTTTGACCTATGACCACCAAAAACTAACCACGTCATTGTTGAGTTCAAGTGGACATTTGTGCCAAATTTAAAGAAATTCCCTTGAGGCATTCTTCCGATTTTGCATTCACAAGAATGGGACAGACAGATGGAAGTATGTGCGGACGGACAGACAACCCAAAAACATACTGCCTCTGGCCACGGCTATGGACAGCACAGAGGCATAAAAATGCATCGTGTAATACATCATGAAAACGTCACAGACACATTTCCTGTGGGGTCCTCAGTCACATCCTCGCTCCCTGAAGTGGCACCACTCAGTCATCAAGACTTTAAGAACCCCTGATCTAAGATTTTTGCTTCAAGATGTTCTAAAACAGTTCAGCTGTTAAGTTTCCCCCCATGATACCCCATGATATCCCACCCATGTTCAGGGTTGGGTCACAGAAAGTGTTGATTAAAAATTAAATTTTTTTTTACTGATGGATTTCCAGATTGGGCCCAAGACAAAAACTCAGTGAATAACCCTGATAAGGTATAAACCAAGAGGTCAAGGCTCCAACAGGCAAAACAGGAAAGGCAATCCAAGCACTCTGAAATGTGTGAAAAAACATCGAGGAAGGAAATATTAAAAAGCCTTTACTGTATCGTGACTAAATCTAACCTCTACATGGGTACCCATTCTCCATTTGTGATGTATCAAAAATTTGGTGTAATCTCATCTTATATTATTTCTTGTTTTTGTGATTTTCAGTGTGTTCCACCTGACATGTTATTATCTGGGTCATGTGATTGCCTCCCATTGGCTCTTGCTACTGTATAGGTGAGGCCACACTGGTGCTGTCTGTTTGTTGAAAGCTCTGACAAAGAGCAGAAGGGGTTGAAACATGTTTAGCTATTACAGTAAAAGCTTTTTAATGTTTCCTTGCTTGAATGTCTGGATTTTTCCCAGCTTTTCTGCAGTTTTCTGGGAGCACCCAACACATTTTTGATCTATGGATTGGACCAACCAGTCATCTCTTTTTCTAGGCAACCCAGTTACACTGATGGTTAATATGTCCCAGTTCTAATGGGACACTCACACTTCAATGCTTACGTTTCTCCCTAGAGATACAAGACAAATTCTGGTGGACACTACAGCCCCTTTCAGAGCCAGATACAGTCCAAAATGGACCTGGGCGCACATGGGGTTCTACATACATAAGGTGCCTGCATACATGAACATGTTTACACAGTGTTTGCCAGCCTGTACCATCTGTGTAGTCGTACATTTTGGACCCAGAGAGCAGAGGAAAATGTTGGCATTGTACATTTCTGCAAACCACAAATATGTTACATTTGTACATTTCATATGTATCATATCAATGTTTCTAAAGTGATGGAGTATATGAGCTGACTTGGTCACTGGGAGGTGGAGGAGCTGGGGGATGGTGTGACACCGAGATGAAATACCTGCCAAGCAGCAGACCACAACAGACCACTTATCAAAACCAACAAACAATAAAACCAGTTGTGTTTTCCAGCGGCTTTTCAGGCAATGAACATGGGTGTTTTTAGGTGACCCGTCGCTGTTTCTCCACCAAGGATAGTGCCACGAAAGCATTTGTTTTTTAACGAAACATTGAGGCTTTTCCAGCTGTGATTTTGCCACCAAACCTCGGTGTTTTAAGCCAAATATGATCCTTTCCAAATCATAATCTAGTGGTGTTTGTGCTTCAACCAAACCACATGTAAACCATGGCGTTGTTAAAATGTAAAGAAGTATAAATTTTGAATGCATCCATTAGTAACGTACAAATGTAATGTAGTCTGAGTTTGCAGAAACGTACAATACCGACATTTTTTTCTGGCTATTGGGTGGACAGTTCACATGGACTCTCATGGAGACGGGCAGATGGTGAAATTAAATCTCACAGGAGTCCAAATTTTGGCAATTGTAAATTTCTTCAAGGAACAGATATTTTAAATTTGTACATTTATATGTATTATATCAACATTATATCAACATTTCTGAAATGATGTAGTTCAGATTACATGTACAGTACAGGCCAAAAGTTTGGACACACCTTCTCATTCAATGCGTTTTCTTTATTTTCATGACTATTTACATTGTAGATTCTCACTGAAGGCATCAAAACTATGAATGAACACATGTGGAGTTATGTACTTAACAAAAAAAGGTGAAATAACTGAAAACATGTTTTATATTCTAGTTTCTTCAAAATAGCCACCCTTTGCTCTGATTACTGCTTTGCACACTCTTGGCATTCTCTCCATGAGCTTCAAGAGGTAGTCACCTGAAATGGTTTTCCAACAGTCTTGAAGGAGTTCCCAGAGGTGTTTAGCACTTGTTGGCCCCTTTGCCTTCACTCTGCGGTCCAGCTCACCCCAAACCATCTGGATTGGGTTCAGGTCCGGTGACTGTGGAGGCCAGGTCATCTGCCGCAGCACTCCATCACTCTCCTTCTTGGTCAAATAGCCCTTACACAGCCTGGAGGTGTGTTTGGGGTCATTGTCCTGTTGAAAAATAAATGATCGTCCAACTAAACGCAAACCGGATGGGATGGCATGTCGCTGCAGGATGCTGTGGTAGCCATGCTGGTTCAGTGTGCCTTCAATTTTGAATAAATCCCCAACAGTGTCACCAGCAAAACACCCCCACACCATCACACCTCCTCCTCCATGCTTCACAGTGGGAACCAGGCATGTGGAATCCATCCGTTCACCTTTTCTGCGTCTCACAAAGACACGGCGGTTGGAACCAAAGATCTCAAATTTGGACTCATCAGACCAAAGCACAGATTTCCACTGGTCTAATGTCCATTCCTTGTGTTTCTTGGCCCAAACAAATCTCTTCTGCTTGTTGCCTCTCCTTAGCAGTGGTTTCCTAGCAGCTATTTGACCATGAAGGCCTGATTCACGCAGTCTCCTCTTAACAGTTGTTCTAGAGATGGGTCTGCTGCTAGAACTCTGTGTGGCATTCATCTGGTCTCTGATCTGAGCTGCTGTTAACTTGCGATTTCTGAGGCTGGTGACTCGGATGAACTTATCCTCAGAAGCAGAGGTGACTCTTGGTCTTCCTTTCCTGGGTCGGTCCTCATGTGTGCCAGTTTCGTTGTAGCACTTGATGGTTTTTGCGAC